AGGTCCATGCATTTTCAAAAAAATTTGAGGTGAACTACTAGTATTCTGATCCTCTATTGCACGGAAGGTGGTACGTAGGCACTAAAGGTTCGCAACCGCGACAAGTGCAAAAATTATAAAAAAAATAACTTCTTTTCTCATCTCCACCATCTATTTTTGTATACACCTTTTATAGTCAAAATACACAGATTTTCAAATAGGTTCATGCAGAGTACCGTAGATGTTTAGGGTGTTAATACCTTCCCTTTGCATAACCAACCTCCGTACCTAGATTCTCTCCCCTCTCTTTTTGGGTTTATTTTCTCTTTTCACATTTTCTTTGGAAACAATAAAGCGCGGTGACGATTTTTATTTTGATCTGTGCGAGTTAAGTCAACTCAATGGGTTAGTCTCAACTTTTCTACTGCAGAACCCTGAAGCAAAATCGTAGATGACAAAATTTATGACATCGTGCCAAAGAATCATCCCGATACGATAAAAATTGAGAGAGTTATAATTTTTCTGAATAGCGAGAAATTTGGACAGAAAATCCACTGTTTCGGGCTGCACGGAATTTTCAGCTTATTTCGGTGTTCAACTATGGAAACAAGCCATAAACCAAAGTCTTCTGAGCACAATCCAAACTTGGGTCTTGAAGAAAACTTGTAGCTAACAAAATTTGTGACATCATGTCGAAAGAATCGTCTCATATGATGAAAATTGAGAAAGTTCCGATTTTTGCAATATCGGCGAAACTGACAATAAATAACCATTTTGGGGTGCAATTTCTCAGGTAATTTGCACTTTTTGAACTCTTCTTCAAAGAATTAATTTCTGACCCGAACATACAAATTGAGGACGATATGAAGATGGTTTTTATGCCTGAAGAACTGCTCACATATAATTTTATGGTAAGAAGTTATGAATTTTTGAACGTTCGATAAATAGTGGACCAGCAATCCACTTATTAACAGAATCTTTAGGTTTTTTGCATTTTCGGAGAGCTTCTGTAGCGAATTGTCTCCCGACCCTAACATATGAATTGAAGAAAATAACAAGACGGTTCAAATGCTCCAAGATCCACTCAAATATGATCTTCCAGTCAGAAGTTACGAATTTTTGAACATCTAAAATAACAATTGACCAGCAATTCCAATGTATAACATAATTTCAGGTATTTTGCGCTTTTAAAGATCTTTCTTAAAAAATTATCCTTCGACCTGAAAAGATGAATTGATGGAGATCTCAAGACGGTTCTAATACCAGAAGAACCATTCCCAAACCATTTTCCGATCACAAGTTACAAATTTTGACCTCAAGCCGTAGAATACTGATTTTCGGCTTGAACTGTCTCAAATCAACTGAAACACTTGACTTTATCTGCAATTCAAAGCGTGATGGAACACATGAGAGCTTGGCATGATGATAACTTGATGACTCACTGATTGATAAGTTCAGAAAAATATGCGGAGTGCACGTTAATCCTGAAAACCCTGAGTTTCTACGTTGTATCGCTTGATAAACAATCGTCTTCTGTTAACTTGATGCAGATAAATGCTTTGATCCCGTAACCATGGAATCGATGATATGTATGAATGAGTATGTTAAATAAAAGTAATCCAATTATAGTTAAAATGAAGAGGACGGATTTTGGGATACAACACAAAGGAGCAGCGGGGCTTTATTAAGGATAAACATATTCATTATTGCATTAGTTTGGCGTCAGAGGCGTTCAATTTGCTTGATTCTAAAACCTGGTGTGGTAACGTGGCGCTGAAGGTTGACATTGCAAAAGCTTTCGATACGCTCAACTGGGATTTCCTTTTGAAATTTCTCCAAAGTTTTGGATTCAACCAAAAATTCTGTTTCAGGATCAAAAATCTCTTGCATTCTACTCAGATGTCCGTCAATGTTAACGATGTTCTTTGTTGTTACTTTACTTGCTCTAGGGGTGTTCGGCAAGGAGATCCGCTATCACCGTTACTTTTCTGTCTCGTGGAAGAGGTGGTTAGTAGAAAGATTCTTCAACTCGTATCTTTTAAGAAGCTTGATCTTATCACGGGCCCTAAAAACATCACGGTGTCGTCACACATTTTGTATGCTGATGATGTTTTTATTTTCTACAAAGGTAAAATCTCGAATATCAAGAATCTCATAGCGGTCTTCGAAGAGTATGCTAATATTTCTGGGCAAAGAATCAACTTTAATAAGTATTTCATTCATGGTGGTTCTATGTCTTTGGCTAGGCTTAATATTTTGGCGGGGCTCTCGGGTTTCAAAAGAGGCTCCTCTCCTTTTATTTATCTTGGAGTCCCAATCTTCAAGGGCAAACCAAATGCGATTCATTTACGTCCTATTGCTGACAAGGTAATTAATATGCTAGCTTCTTGGAAAGGGTCATTGTTATCTTTTATTGGTAGAGTGGAGCTTGTTAAATCCATCATCCAAGGAATGCGGATCCACTTCATGGCTATCTATTTGTGGCTGATTTCTATCATCTGTGATGTGGAGCGTGCAGTGAAGAGTTTTATTTGGAATTGGAAAACTACTAGGAAGAAAGTGATAACGGCGACATGGAAGGATATGCGCTTACCTTTAACAGAGGGAGGGCTGGGGATTCGATCTCTCATTAAGCTTAATGAAGCTTATAATCTTAGGCTTGCTTGGAATTTGCACAACTCCTCTGAGTCTTGGGCTGTTTTTCTTAGACAATGCATTTTCCGAAAGAACAAGATTATCAAGCATCATATTTTCTCTTCCATTTGGTCTAGCATCAAAGCAGAGATGTCGGTGATTGAAACCAACACTTCTTGGATTATCTGCAATGGCACTTCAGTTAGTCTTTGGTTTGATAGTTGGTGTGGCGATCCACTGCATTCTTTTCTGGAGGAACCATATGACATTGTTGATCAACCTATCAGTACCATCATGAAAAATGGTCAGTGGGACTTTTCTTAGGTTGATACACCAATTCCTTATGCTCTTCAGGAGAAGATTTCAGCTTGCCACATTCTGATTGATCTCCGCCCAGATTCAAGAGTTTGGATTCGTTCTTATTATGGGGAGCTTTCTAATAAGCTTAGCTATGACTTTAAGAGGCCGTGTGGAAACCGCAAGGATTGGTGGCACTGAATTTGGTCTAAATCAATTCCATTGTTGAAATCTGTTTTGCTCGGAAGTTATTACATAACAAGGTGTCTATAAATGATAAATGGAAGAATAGGAACTTTGCTTTTGCTTCTCGCTATAACTTGTGCAATGCTGCAGAAGAAACCACCATCCACCTCTTCTTTGATTGTAAATTTTCTTCTCATCTCTGGTTCTAGTTAGGAAACAAGTTCAGTCTTTCTTCTTCCATGACCGGTTGGTTTGATGTTCGGAGAGTTTGTAGTCTGTTTGATTCTAGACAATGTAAAACGGTAGAAATTTCCACTGTCATATTCGTTTTTAACACCATATGGTCGGCTAGAAACAAAGTTAGATTTCATAATACTAATCCTAATCTTTCCTCGTCTATTTCTTCTATTTTGAGCGCTATGTCCTTGGCTGGTAGTTCGGCTACTGCAACCAAGTTTCTGAGCATGCAAGATTTCATTACTCTCAAGAGTTTCAAGGTTGTTATTCGGCCTCCCAAAGCTTCGAATATTGTCGAGGTGATTTGGAAAATTCCTCCAAGGAATTGGATAAAAATTAATTGTGATGATGTTTTTATCTCTACCTCTGGAAAACAGCTTGTGGTGGAATTGCTAGAAGTAGTGAGGGTAGTTTTTTGGACGCTTTTGCCTCTTTTTTTGGGGTCCTCCAATTCTCTCATGGCCGAACTCTCGGGGTGCAATGATTGCAATGGAGTTCGCGCATGATAAAAATTGGAATAATATGTGGTTGGAAACAAATTCGACGACGGTGGTAAAAGCGTTAAAATCCCCCTTTTTAGTTCCTTGGAATATTAAAAATAAATGGATGAATTGTATAAAAATAGTTGCTAATTGGAATTTTGTGGCTTCCCACATATTTCGGGAAGAAAATAGTTGTGCATCGTCTTGCTAACATAAGACTCACTCTTACCGATTTCACTTATTTTTCATCTGTACCGAGTAGTGTAAGAACTGATTTTGTAAGGAATATGCTTGGTATGTTTTTCTATAGATCCGTCTCTCATTGATAGGTTTTGGTATATGTTTCCCTTTTTTTTTTTAACAATTTTCTTTTTTATTATATAATCTCATTTAAAAAAAATGTTGCACATTAGTTAGCATACTAAACTTTTATAATATTTTTTTTTATAAATTAATCCCTTATTACTTCTACAATAGTTATTTTTTTACGTATACAATAGTTATTTTGTACGTATACAAATTATAAGGGTCGAATGATACATGAAACGAACTAATTATATTTATTTGTTTCTATTAATACAATTATGCTGGGTAATATAAAGTGCTGTTTGGAAATAATATCATGATGAACATTTGAAGAAGTTGGAAAACTTATACCATATTAAATATAAGATAATTTTAAAGAGTTATTATGAAGTAAAAACTCATGCAAGCTCATAATCTTGAGCATGAGGAAAAAAGTGAAAAGAATGGTTTCCTCTTACATTGATCAAGGAAGAGAATGGTATATATATATATATACAAGAAGGTGAGTCCTCATCATAACTAGTGAATATGCACCATAATTAACTAACTACACTAGTTGCTTGTGTTACAAGTAATCAACTTCCTAACTAACTTAAATCAGAAAGTTAACCACCTATAACTAAGTTTATGAATCAGTTAATATGGTTTGTGATTATTCTGTTGATAAACTCCTAATTAACAAGAGAATATAATTGTAAATTCTTCATTGCATACATAGTTTAGTGTTGCATGACTAGAAATATTATGAATTATAGTTGATTACAATCATGAAAGGAAAACTCTTACACACACATACATCCTTTTTTTACATATAAATAAAACACAACAAGAATGAGATACGGAAAATCCATTCAGCAACTCATTTTCTTTCTAGTTCTCTCATCCTATAGTATTGGATTCGGTAACCCAAGCTGAAACTTCTGTAAGGGTCGCGTGCTTGAAGATCCAATGCTCTTTTCCTTCCTGAGGAGCAATGCTCTTCAGAAATTCCCCAGTCATTTGCTTCATATACAGAACTTGAAGCTTTTTTAAGTGTTGAAAGTCATTTGGTACCATTTTGAGATTGGGGACTCTGGATAGATGAAGCTTTTTCAGAGAAGGCAACGCACCTTCGTCAATAAGAATATTATTCAAGGGCTTCAAACCCAAAAGTATTAGTTCCTTCAAATTCTTAAACGAGCCATCTTCAAAATGTAAGCTTTTGCCTATATAAGCATTGCCGCAGATATAGAGGGATAACAAGTTTGGCATACTTTTGAGTAATTTCATTGCATCGTCCATTAGCTCTGAGTAATCGAGTTGCAGCATAACAAGATTTTGAAGCTTTGGGATCCATTCGGGCAACTTCCATAATATTCCGCCGAGTCTAAGATATCGAAGCAAAGGTGGGGGTGAATTCAAATGCAGATCAGTGATAATTGTGTTATTTTCTTTTCCGAAAATACGTAGTTCCTCCAGTTGTTGCATCTCATTGATTGAAGAAGATAGAGCACTCATATATGTATTTCTAACACCAGACAGATCCAATTCCCTTAGTTGCTTCAACTTTCCCAGCTCTTGGATTAGCTCTACTACTCTGTTATCATCTTCGTCTTCGTCTTCATCTAAATAAACACCTCTTAGAGTTTGTAGGGATGTCATATCTCCGATACCATCCTTCAATCCAATCAAAGACATTTTCCAGCCTAGAAAATGACGTAGCTTTGTAAGCTTGCAAAACTCCTTTGGCATGGTATAGGTTCTTACTCGCGTTAAATCTAAGGTTTCTAGGTTTTGGAGCATGGCAAATATGGAATTTGAAAATTTTAATACACCTGGACTTAAGTCTTTAAAGCTGATATACTTCAAGTGGATCAAACTTCCTAAATCTTCTGGAACTTGAAGCAATCCAGCACAGCGAATAGCAAGCACCTTCAACAGTCTGTACTTTGAAGGGATTCTCTTTACAATGGATTCCGGTAAGGTTTTGGGTGTGAAAACAAACAGTGATCGAACTTTTGAGCTTTCAATACTTTCCATCAAATTATCATAACCAGATGCTACTGATAGGCGTCGAACTATTGAAGAATAGACAACTCACCATCCCCACTAATATTCTTACAAAAACTTAAGTCCTTGCATTTTTCAAGGATCATTGCATGCACTAGATCATGAACACAACAAAGTTTTGGTCTACCATCAACACCCATAAAAACTACTTGCACTAAACTTCTATGGATCAACTCTATTAAATATCCTTCTGCAACTTGTTCTAAAGTTTGTACCTTATCCTCTTTCACAAACCCTTCAGCTATCCATTGATTAATCAACATTTTTGCGCCAACTGTGTAGTCTTCAGGATACATTCCAAAATATAACAAACATGGCTTAAGATTGTAAGGCAAATCATGGTAACTTAATGCTAAAATACGATTTATCCGAGAATCCTTATTCAACTCTGAATTCACATGTTCAATAAACCTATCCCATTCAAATTTATTTCTATCTTTCTGAGACAAAAGACCACCAATGACTACAATTGCTAGTGGTAATCCATTGCATTTTTCAATAATTTTAGAAGATATGTCCATAAGATTTTCAGGACAATATCCGTTCAAATCATGGAATGCCTTCTTATTGAACAATTCTAAAGATTGTTCTTTAGTTAAACTTTTCAGCTGAAGCACTTCAACAAAAGAAGATGTCTTACAAGCATTTGCAACATCCATATTCCTTGTTGTGATTAATACCTTAGAACCATTTTTTTTATCAATCATAGCAAATTCAATATCATCCCAAAAATTAATGTTCCATACATCATCAAACACAACAACATACCTTTTTCTCAGCAAGTAGTCTCTCACTTCATCAACTAATGATTTTCGATCCATTTGATGAATACGTTGATCAGGATCGAGTCTTTGTTGTTTGTAAAACTGGCACAAAATGTCCCTCAACAATTTTTCAATATTGTATGATTGAGATACTATAATCCAGGCATGACAGTCAAAGTGATTAACGACCTTTGTGTTGTCAAAAACTTGTTTGGCAAGAGTGGTTTTACCCTGTCCTCCCATTCCAACAAGGCAGACGGCTGTGCGCTCTGCTCTTCCCTTTACCAACCAATCAATCAGTATCTGTCTTGGCTCATCAAAGCCTACAACATCAGCTCCATCCATGTAAAAAGGAGCCTCCCGAAGGTTTTGCAATAACGTGGCATTTGGACTTTCTGAAGAGCTGCTTGATCCTATTTCCCAAAAAGAATGGATTTGGAATGTATCTTTTATTTCAGCGATCCGGGATTTGATGTTTTGAATCTTGTAGGCTATGTGGAGACGCAGAATCTTGGTTTTGACATAGTTAGCACAATAGTTAGCAACAGCAGCACATCCAGGATCTGGAAGTTGTTGCTCCTCACGGATCAAGTATTCATCAATGACATCTTGTATGTAAAAAGAAGCTTCTATCAACTGTTTGATCATTGCTTTGATTTCGTGCTTAGTATTGTCTTTCTGTGAATCAGCCATTCTATCTGCTTCGTAGATGAAGTCTTCAATGCGTTCAAGTTCATCTTTCATTTCAGCAATTTCTTTAGGGACACCCCTAATCATGTTGACTGCTTCCTTTATTAATGGAAGCAAATGATCACGGGCTAGTGGAAGCAACTGTTCTCGAGCACAGGTGAGTGAAGTCTCACACATATTGTAGTATGTATCTTTGAGAAATGAGTGATGATGAAGTTAGCTATTGGTGCTTCAAGATTTATATAGCACAAAGTCCAGTTGTGTGAGAGGAATACATTGACTTTTAGTTTCCCTCTTGCTCATTGCTTAATAATTATCTAGTACATTGAGATGTCATATTTCATTTTTTAAATTTAGTCGTACAAGAGCACTCAAGGTGTTAATTTATGTAATTTAGTTAGCTGTTATTGTTATTTAACTATCTATAAGAGTAATTAAACAATTCATGTCAATGTCAGCTATACAACTAATTAAACAATGCATGTCAATGTTAGTTATACAACTACCAATACATTTTTAACGAGAGAGAAAGAGAGATTCTGAGCATGTTGGCTTTCCTATTGAAAAATATAGTTTTGAATATGCAAATGGCTTTACAATAATTTGTTGTGGAACTTAGTCAGCATCTTTGAAGCATTCCCAATAAATTTGTTGAAGCAATCTCTTGTTTGATTTCTTTCTTATTTATATTTTTTTCCTTCTATACGGTCGTATTTCTTCTTTTATTGGCTTTACTTTTTTATTTAGGCTATATTATCTCTTAATAAGGTCTTTAGTGGAAGGTTGTCACAATATATTCTAAACTAGAATACCGATGCATAGTCACATCGCTTATAATTCGTTTCGGTACGTGATATTAATTCGGGTACGCAGTACGCAACTCTCAAAGAATTAGGTACGCGAGAGACATATTGAAAATAATACAAGTGTAAGTAATGTGGAGACTTGAACATTTATAAGTAGGAGAACCCACACAGCTATCACCTTAAGATTTTAGGTGAAGAATGTCATTGATGCAATCAAGAACATTGAACTGCACCACGAAACTCTTCAGCCCCAAATCTGTCGCCACTTGCAACGACCACCTAATAGCCATCAATTCTGCAGAAGAAGGATCAGTACTCCAGCCAAAATTTCCATAGAAATATAGCCACTACCTGACCAACAACGAAGTCCTTTTTAGAGAAAATAGCATCCAGCCAATCCACAACTCCCCCCACTTCAGGGACTCGAATGCACAACGGGCACAAGCCATCAGAAGGAACCCCTTTCTTTAGCATAATGATGTGTTTGATAAGTCTCCACATGAAGTTTTTAATCTTTGGATTCACTTTTAGCTTCCACAAATTCTTCCAGAACTTCTGATTTTCCTTCGAAGAAGGAACTGGAAGATTTTTACGCCGTTCCCCTCCCAATAAGTGGTAAGCCGTCTTCAATGAAAAATTACCATCAGTTTCATGTGTCAATAATTCTTAGCTTCTTGTCTTTCTCATTATTCTTTGTTGTATATATAGAGATCACAAGGCTATATATTAATTACACTAACTAATTATATTTAATGAGAATAAATCAATTTCTGATTTGTTTTTCTTATTTTAGAAACAAGCTCTTATTTTAGGAACAAACTAATTCTTATTCACATTCCCTCTCAAATTGATGTGGCTGATCAATGAACATCCATTTGTTAACAAGAAACTGATGACGTGGACGCATAACAACCTTGATAAGAATATATACAACCTGCAACTGTGTACTGACATGAGGAAGTGATATTAGTTGGTCATCATACGCGTCACAGATTGAGTGACAATCAACTTCAATATGTTTGGTGTGTTCATGAAAAACAGGATTCGCAACAATTTGGATGACACTTGTATTGTCAACATAAAATGAAGTTGGCTCTATTTGAAGAAATCCAAGTTCAGCCAAAAGACCACGAAACCAAATTATTTCAGAACAAGCAGCAGACATGACACGATACTCAGATTCAGTAGAAGATTTAGAGACTCTTGCTTATTTCTTACTTTTCCATGAGATCAATGAAGAGTTAAGAAATATGCACCAACCAGTGATAGATCGTCGAGTATCATGACACCCTGTCCAATCGGCATCACTATAAACACTCAATTTAGGAGCAACTCCAGTAGGAAAGAATAAACCACGATGAGAGATTCCTTTCAAGTAACAAATTATATGATGAACCGCAGCCAAGTGAAGATGGCGAGGAGAATGCATGAACTGACTTACTTGTTGAACAATTAAAGATATGTCAGGGCGAGTAAAAGTCAAGTAGTTGAGGCTACCCACAAGTTATCGATACAATAAGAGATCAGGCAAAAGAGCACAATCATCACGATGATATTTAACATTAACCTCAAGAGGAGTATCTACCGGATTAGCCGATTCGAGCCGGACATAAAAATCAATTCTGTAGCATATTTGTGTTGATGGAGAAAAATTCCCTTTGATGTAGAATGAACCTCAACACCAATAAAATAATATAGATTACCTAGATCTTTCATGTGAATTGAGGCTTGTAATTGCCGCTTAAGTCACTGAATGGAAGCATGACCAGAACCAATAATAACCATATCATCAACATATAAAAGAAGCAAACAATACCCGTAAGCGTGCTATGAATAAATAATGAGGAATCATACTGAATATGAGTAAAGGAGAATCCAAGTAGAGTGGAGCAGAATTTCTTGTACCATGCTCTAGGTGCCTGTTTTAAATCATATAAGGAGCGTTTGAGCTTGCACATGCCTATAAATGAAGAGAATAAGCCTTAAGGTGGAGTCATATAAATATCTTCTGTCAGGTCACCATGAAGAAAATCATTCTTCATATCCATTTGATGAAGCGACCACCCACTAGAAGCAGCTATAGAGATGATTGTGCGAATAGTTTTCATTTTGGCAACCGATACAAATGTCTTATCATAATCAATTCCATATTCCTGGTTATTTTCTAAAGCAACCAAACGATCCTTGTAATGGTTGAGGGACCACATCAGAATTCAATTTCATAGAATACACCCATTTGCAACCTATAGGGTTGACATCAGGAGGACAAGAGACAACATCCCCTGTGAAATTCTCTTGAAGAGTTTAAAGCTCTTCATTCATTGCTTTTATTCATCGCACATCTTTAACAGTCTGTGATTAACAAGTAGGAATAAATATGATAGAGAGTGTGGTAGTCAGAGAAGTATGTGCGGAATCATACCTGTCTCGTGAATATCTAGCTGGTGCACAAGATATTCGATCAGAACGTTGTCGTTCAACCGGTACAGGATCAGGTGACAGTTCAACATCAGGAAGGGGTGTGGGAACCTGTTGTCTGTGTTTTCTGACATATACATGACATGGTTTATAATGTTCAATAGATTGAGGCAATAATAGAAAACTTAGGAAGAGTAACAATATCGTGAATGGCAGGAGAAACACAGGGAAACATAAATTGATTATAAAAAAAATCTCACATTCCTAAAAAAGCGAAAATGATGGTTAGTGACATCATAACACACAAATCCCTTATGAGAATGGTTATATCCCATTAATGCATATTGAATAGACTACGCTCCAAGCTTATGCCTTTCAAATGGAGGTAAGTGGACAAAACAAACACACCCAAAAGTATGTAAATCACTATAATTAGGCTGAATTTTAAAAAGGCGAAAGAATGGAGAATCAAAATCAATAACTGTAGAAGGAATACGATTGGTCAAGAATACGACTGTGGAAAGAGCCTCTACCCAAAATCAGAATGGCACATAAGCTTGAAGAAGTAAGGTGCGTGTTACATCAAGAAAATGGCGATTCTTTCGCTCTGCCATCCCGTTTTGTTGAGGGGTATTGGGACAAGACCGTTGAGACAATATCCCCATTTGTTGAAGGTATTCATGAAATTCATGAGACGTATACTCACCTCTCGAGTCATATCAAATTTTTTTAACACTTGTTTGAAATTGATTTTCAACATATGTTAAAAAATTCTGAAACATGGAAAACACTTCAGACTTAGATCTAAGAAAGTATATCCAAATAAAGCGGATGCAATCATTAATAAATGTGACAAAATATTTATAGTGAGCACGAGATGTGTAACACCCCTTCTAAAATACCCTGAATAATATTAATTATATCAATGATTAAAGACATATTCTATCAGAGTTAACACGGAACAAGGGATGTCACAATTATGAAATAAATAAAACTTCCAATAAAACAGTAGTCATGCTACACTGAGGGTCATTATTCAAATAATTCAATCAAATTAAGACCATGTCTTACACAGCGGAAAAATACCATAACCAAAACGGAATAAACCAAAACATAATTATTCCCAATGAAATTCAAAGAAACAATTGAATAATAACTAATTCCTCAACTAAACGTTCCCCAGTGTTACAACCTATCAGAGCACGACACTGACACGCGGACTTAAAGTAACATAGCTCTAGAGCCATCCTCACCAACTCCTGAGCTGCTAACTTTAATCTGAAATTGTTAAAGTAAGGGTGAGATTTCTCATAATTAATATGCATTATAAGCTTCTCAATCAACATTATATCACAAGCATATTATTTCACCCATTTTAGCATAAATTCATATTCAACACGCAGTTCCAATCATACAAGTCATTATGCACAAATCAATAATCAACCAAAGAATTGTAACACTGGAAGACATCCTAACATGTTACAATTCTATGCAAACACAAATGCAGACACAATACATGTGGTACCAACACGTGACCAAGTCACCCAACACTGATCCATCATCAACCGGATACAGCAACCATCGATTCGTCCATAAACACCCGGACACGAATCCAGCCTAACCACCCATCATCACCCGGGTATCGGTTAACGGCAATACAAGTCAAATTCCACACAATGGGAATTAACTTCACCAAAACAATGCATATGCACGCACATCACTAGCATGCAACATCAAATCAGTCTATGAAATACATCAATTTATCATAATTGGACCAAAACCAAAAACATGATATCTCAACGATCATGCACACCATCATTAGCAACATAAACATGCCTTTCATTCACACAATACTAATACATCCATCCATCACAGGTTCACTGCTACATACACACCCATGTGCGTTAGCCAATAATCACTTATTCCGGGATTTGACTCATTTTCAAAATAATT